CGGTATGTTCTTACAATAGTAGCGTTGAAGAGATAAAACGCTTTTTAAATCCATCTTAATTATTATAGATAGTACTATTAGATGTATCACAAATAAAAAAATGATGTGATTTACTTGCTAGTTAACGTGTTGATTGTAAATTCAAGTGATCCACTTACATCCATTGTTCAAAGTATTCATGCATTAATTACTCATAAAATTAACACCTAAAATTGAAACTATTGACATCACCGGTAATTACATGATGAACTTGATTTTCATTCTGATTCAAATGAAAATATATTTGAGTTTTGATAATACATTATATTTTCCCATAATGATAATGCTGCTGGTTTTATGCACCTCCTAAAAATTTTGACACCATCAATGCTTTTGTTTGTCAAATCACACGTTGAATTTGAAGGTTGACGTTGTATTAATGTAAAACATTGATCAATATTCATAGTTTTGATGAGATTCAATTAGCCTTGTAATTACTAAGCTTTGCGATTGTAACACTCAAAATTTAGTCATTGTTTCTTTTGCAATGACAAATTAGCCCCGATTTTGTCAAACGGGAAGACAGTAAAATGATTTTCTGAAATATACTGCGTTGTTTAACTGCGCAGTTATCGTCAAACATTTATTTGACTACCTCCACGATTGAATTTTTAGCTGAAATTAGGTATGGGTAAACTAGACTTAATGAAGAAGATGCGCAAAAAAAATCATCAAAATATTCCACCTAGAACCGCCTCAAATGGCAACGGCCGAACATAGCCTCCTATAAAAAGGGTGATTTGCACTTTTTCGCTTAGTATATATGTTGTTGTGTCAAGAATCACTTCTAGATATGAAATGAAGACACTTAAATGCGTGAAAGAGAGAGGGCAAACATCAAACTGTAAAATCTGCAATTATTGTGTAAGAAGTTACTCCGTTCAATTCGTCCTAAAATAATTATCTGGTTATCCTTATTAGGATGACTCAAAATAATTGTTTTGTTTCTTTTTTTGACAATAATATGTACGTCATATCATTTCACTTTTTCCCACTCAAATCTCAACATCAATTTTTATCATTTCAATCTCTTTCATAAAACCGGTGCTAAAGCAAACAAGACAATTATTTTGGAACGGAGAGAGTATATTTATATTATTTCACAATAAAAATCGTTCAAAATGTGAAGCAATATTTCAGAGCTGATGCAATTTTAAGTCATACTAAGAACAATTATGTTGTAGAATTACGAATGACCAATAGCTCACGAAATTTGTTGAAGATTCAATATATAATACAAGTGTTTTACCATAAAATTGTTGTCGCATTTTACTCATTAACAATGTTAAATACTGTTATAAACTCATGTTGGAAACTTTTCCCTCATTCATCCTCTTTTCTTCTTCTTTTGTCAATAATTACGTTTTCCCCTCCATTTTTTCAACCTTACAACTATGAATACACCTTTTCCCTATTTCATCAACTCATCCCTCTTGTCTGCTACCTTTTTTACTTTGGATCCTAAACTTTTTTTAGAATTTGGGAAAAAAATAACAGCTGATTTTCAATAAAGCAAATTTTAAAAATGTATGTGCTAAATGCTGCGCTTTTTTATTTACAATTTGGTCTTTTATTGTATTATTATTCCCATGTGTACTTTTACTTGATCCGTTTTTACGTTTACTTTATCATTGCAACATTTCCAGGTTGCAATATTTATAATGATGAGGCTTCAGACGTTAATAATCTTAATATAAGCGACCTATACTAGTGACTTAGGACACGTTTCCTTTACGGGTTAATAAACGATGCTTATTAAGACTCACGTTAATAAGCGACGCATAAAATAAAAAGTGCTGTAAGTTCATGTTTACCTCAAAGGATTTAAAGCACCGTTTACCATTAAAATGTCCAAAATAACCTTATAGATATATACACACAAGCATTCATGAACACAAGTATATAATATAATATGTGGGGTCACCTCGTACGTTTAGTCGCTTACACACACCCCTAACCCCTACCCCGCCCTGTACCCCCACCCCTCACCATACCCCCAATTCCACACCCTTGACCCCCACCGCTTCCCTACCCCTACCCTTACCACGACCTTACCCTCAACCCCTACTCATACCAACCCCATAGGGCTTGGGTCAAGGTAGGGGCAGATGATATGGGGTAAAGGGGTAGGGGTCGGGGTATGGTAATGGGAGTGGGTGGGGTTGAGGTGGGGGGAGACAGTAGGGGTAAAAGGGTACAAGTAGGGGGTAGGGTGGGGTGGGGGTAAGGGGTATGGTCGTCTGGGGGTAGGGGTGGGTCGATGTAGGGGCAGGGAGTAGGGGGTAAAGGGGTAGGGTAGGGGGTAGGGAAGGGGTGGTGGGGGTAGGGGTAGGGGGTGGGGTCGAGGTCGGAGTCGGGTCAAAGTAGAAGAAGGTGGTAAGGGGTAAAAGGGAAGGGTAAGCGGTGGGTTGGGGGTGGGGTAGGGTAGGGTAGGGTCGGGATTGGGTGTGGTTGAAGTAGGGGCAGGTAGTAAGCGGTAAAAGGGTAGGGTCGGGGTAGGATAAAGGTAAGGAGTATTAGTGGGGGTGCGGGTGGGGGTGTGGTCGGGTTAAGGGTGGAGGTGGGGTCGAGGTAGGGGCAGGTGCTAGGGGTAAAAGAGTAGGGTCGAGGTAAGGGGTACAAGTGTGGGTAGAGGGTAGGGTGGAGTGGGGTTAAAGGGTATGGTCGTCTAAGGGGGTAGGGGTAAGGGTAGGGTCGGGGTCAGGTCAAGGTAGGGGAAGGTGGTAGGGGGTAAAGGGGTAGGGTAAGGGGGTGAGAGTGGGGTGGGGTAAGGCAGGTGGTGGAGGGTAGGGTCGGGGTATGGGGTAAGGGGGTAGGGGTTGGGTAAGGTGGTGGGGGAGGGGTCGAGATTGGGGTGGGGTCGAAGTAAGGACAAGTGGTAAGCGGTAAAAGGGTAGGGTCGGGGTAGGATAAAGGTAAGGAGTACTAGTGGGGGTGGGGTATGGTCGGGTCAAGGGTGGGCTTGGGTCGGGGTGGGGTCAGGGAGTCAGGGTAAGGTAGGCAGGGTAGTGGGGTAGCAATAGGGTAAGGGCAATGTACAAAGCTAGGGGTAAATTCGGAAACTGAAAAAGCTTAAAGTGCCTTTTAATTAATACATGGGGGAGTGGTATGCTTAGTAAGTGGCAATTTAAGCACCTCTTTCGATTAGTAAGCAGCGTTTTAAGCAACTTGCGTGTTTACTTCACATGTCTTACTAACCTAAATGTGACTTTTAGCAGCGAAGGAAACGCCTCCTTAGTGAGGATAAGACTTTTTACTTCATCGGATATAGGGATGGACCTGGGCCGGTCCGATTCCGGTTCTGATTCCGGGCCGGGCCCGGGCGGGCTTTTTTTCAAATTGTTGGGCCCGGAATCAGCCCGGGTTGATACCGAGTCCGGGCCTAACCGGGCCGGGCCAGGCCGGGTCGGGCCCGGGTCAAGGTAATTTTTTTTTGGCTTTTTAATTAACCCCCGACCCCCCCCCCTCACTCCCACCCCCAACCCCCCCCCCCCCCCCAAAACACCCAACCCTAACTAAGAAAAACAAAAAAATTGAAAAAACCAAAAAAATAATAATAAAAAGACCGGGCCCGGCCGGCCCGAACCGCCCGGGCCGGTTCAACAAATATAGGGCCCGAGCCCGGCCTGCCCAACCCTTCCCAACCGGGTAAAAGCCCGTGCCCGGTTAGCACCAACCGGGCCGGTCCAGGCACGCACAGTGCCGGGCCGGTCCAGGCACGCACATTGGCGGGCCGGACCGGGCCAAATCGGCTGGGTCCATCCCTAATCGGATATAAGAGTCACAGGCATAATACACTCGATATACGGTCATGAACTTATGCTCCGTAAAATTGTAGAATAAAAATCCTCTCTATGTAGAAAGAGGATCAGAAATTGTCACCTGCAGAATATAAAATCCAGTAACAAAAATTTAGCTTTTACGGGGTATGAAAATATATATAACTTGTTTTGGGTCGGTTTTGCTATTAATTTATTGTAGTGTGTGTGTGTGTGTGTGTGTGTGTGTGTGTGTGTGTGTGTGTGTGTGAATCGATAAACAGTTATTGCTTTTCCGTTCAAAGTTATATTTTGTTGCTCTAAGTTACATTTCGTGAGGAAAAAAGATTTATTTTTCATGTGATGTTTTTCCGACAAGATTGTGATATTGATATGATTGCGGAAATTATTGATTGTGATTGAGTAAGAAAAAAATAAATAAATGATACTCACACAACTTTTCAAAAAACGAAATAAAGACTTTTTATGACATCCAAAATAGGCATAGAACCGGCCCAACCTGGGTTGATCCCGAGCGCGGGCCCGACCTCCCGGTTCTAAATAATTGAAGCCCGGTACCGACCCGATTTGGTTCAATATTGGCTCCGGTCCGAGGCCAATCAGTAGCAGTCTCGAGTCAATCCCGAGCCTGTACCCGCCCTTAAATTAAATTTTTATTTTTTAAAAGTAGTCGTTGGGACGGAAACCGTGTCTGGGACCAGCCAGTCCGGTCCCAAAAAATCAAGCCCGAGCCCGACTCTTTTCATACCATGGTCCGGGTAACGGGCCTGTACTGGTCCCGGATCGGTACCGGTACCAGAAAAGCGATCCCGAAGCGGTACTGACAGTACAGTCCCAGGTCGGTCTCAGGTCGGGCTGCCCAAACCCAGTCCAACCCTTATTCCCAAAAAGGTTAGTGCGTGGGAAGGAGGGGATGTATGATTACCTTATGATTTACTCCGTATGTTCAAACTGTACATTTATAATTTTCTAATTGATTCGTATGACAAAGGACGGTACTTTGGAGCCTTGGAGGTACACAGAAATTGGACTAAAATTTTAAAGATGACAACAGAAACTGAAAATCGCTTCTAATAATGGTTTTTAAAATAATAAAATGTGTCTTAAACACAGAAAATGTATAAAAAAGAAATCGAAAAACTCGATCACTTCTAACAAAGTCAAATAAAACGCAAAATATTTGCCCATGTTCCAATCAACTATGTAGAACAGTAGAAGAAGAATAAATAGACTAACCAACTCCATTCAAAATAACCCCTGACATCCATACTCAAATCCAATAGTTAAATCAAAGTAAACCATTACTGATGGTTGCAAAACAGCAAAAATGCCCAATTATAATTAATCGATCAACTGCATTACTGTACAACGAACAAGAAATCTAATTATTCCTTAAGAAGGCCGATATAATGCTACCTAGTTGGGTACATACCACGATCAACTCCCCGTAATGCCCATGACGTCATACAAGCTCGGGCAGTCCCGATCCAACTGTCCAGGCAATACCCAATGTGTAGCATCAACAAAAACCCTTTTTGTACTCGAGAAATTCTTATGAGAAGTAACAATTACAAGTTTTGAATTTGGCATAACCTAGAAATGGTCAAATCCTCACCACCAAAGCCGTCCATTGCAACATTTGCGCCAGGAAACTCTGCATTAGCTGTCAAGCTTCAAGAGAGAATTATGGAGCATTTCATCAGTAAAACAAGCATGAAATGAAGTAAAATAAAGGGCTGTTTATAGCTAATGTACTTTTACAGACAAATCCCACTTTTGACATTGGAATTGGGCTTGGGTACACATTGAGCACAAGTGCATCTAATGGGATTTTTTCAGCCAGTAATTGTAGGGAACAAGAAAGAAAGATATGTATGTATAATGTGTGTGTGTGTATACACACACACACACACACTTAAAGGGTTCAATTTATTCCAAAAGTAGCAGTTTAGGAAGTATCCACTTGGGCTATGGTACCAAAATTATTTAGCAACTAGAAGCCACATTTTAGCTAGCATGTAAAACTGGTAATTCATTATTTTTGAAGATACCTGCTTCGGACAGCAACACAAAGCATGCCAATTTGCTCAGCTGCAGAAACCCAAGATTGACTTCCAGCAACAAGAATGCACTTATCTAAAGGTGTGTCTACATACTCAGCCCCTGCGCGCAGAGCAGCCACAATATTTTCAAAGCTGTAAAAGCAATCAGCATCGTTAAAATTGGGAAACAAAATATGGAAGTAATGCCAATAATCAAGTAATCCAATTCCATATTTCTACTTTTAAATTTTATTTATACGTTTAACAAAATTATGATATTTTACCTATCTGTGAGTTTATATCTAAACACAAAGTGCCATTTAATGAGCTATGACGATTTTTGTGACAAAAGTACTTTTGTAACACAACTCTTTTTTGTTGGGGAGGGGAGGTATAACTTTTGGGCTAAAACATATAAATTGTGGAAAAGAAAGCATTTCGAAGGTGACAGTTTTTAGCCCAAAATTACTGCTTCTGAGGTGAAAAGTGAAAACTATACACTCATAGGAGTCGTAGGTCTAAACTCTCACGGGAGCGAGCTGAGACCAGCTCATGCAAGTGTTGCATTATGGAATAACAAAGATGTACCATTCACTCGAAGCTGTGCTAATATCAGCACTTGACTTGAGCATGGAAGAAACCTCATTCGTAATTCTCAAGTCTTCAGCAGACACTGGTTAAGACAATAAATACAGCCATAACCCACAGATTAGAGTCATTAGACTGAGTAGCATGTCAATGAATATAAGACCATTTTCACAAAATAAGTTACCTGCTTTATTAGCTCCATTAGCTGATTGTTTTCCAAGATCAGAAGATACTCCTTCACTAAGTGCAAATTGGCCATACAAGCTTTGTTTTACCACCTCATCTTCAATTATCTTCATCTTTGACACTCTTTGACTTCCAAGCTTTTCAATAATGGATCTTGACATCAAACAAAATAATCATAAAAGTTTGGTTTCATAATAACCCACTTATTGTTATTACAACAATAATATTTCTCTAGTGCACCACCCTTCAAGAATGAGAACCATATTACAGTGTGATACGACACAGAAGAATTCCAGAAGACAATCTAAGTTTATAACTGAGAGTTAATAGAAGGAATACTGAAAATAACGTAAGAAAATATAGAGACTATTCGAGTGGCCTCACACTCCCAATTTCCCAGTCCCGATCCCAAGTTCTGCCCCCCCCCCCCCCCCCCCCATCTAATCCCCACTCACCCTTATTTATTCTATTTCTAATGGGCCAGCCCACTTCTAATAAGTTATAGGGCCTAAACCCTATTATTGAACAAAACTAAAATGACTTAATAAGGCTCTAATCCTTGGTAGTGTTCAGGTCCCTAACATCACTCCCCCCTTTAACTTCCACCTTGTCCTCAAGGTGGATGATAAGAGACTGATTTTGCATTAGGTTCCAGCAAGTTTTCAGCTCCATCCCGCTCATAAAATTGATCTACTGTGCCCTCCTCTTCTTCTGGCTCTTCCCTCAAGATCAATTGATAATGTTTCATTCCACAAACATGCTCTTTGCCCCATTTGTTTCCACATTTGAAGCATAAGCCCTTCTTGCTTCTTTCTTCTAAGTCTGCTTGTGTCAACCTTTGGCCACCTTCCCATGTCTTACTCGGTTTTGGCGATTCCTCCAGTTTGTTCTCTGAAAGTGTTCTCTCCGGATTTAACGCAGGTGTTCTTCCCTTTGTTGCGTCTACCCAGTTCCATCCTCCCTGTTCCTTCCAACCTATGTTGTCTTCTTCTTTATTTTTTTTCCTGTCCACACCTTATTCTTCTGCTCCAACAACAAAGCCTTGTCCATCAGTTCAGTTAACCCACTGGTCTGGTGCAACTTCAGTTCCGTGCTAATTTCTTTTTTAAGGCCATTGAGAAACACTCCTTTTAACATCCCTTGGTCAGCAAGTTTGAGAGGAGCTACAACCATTTCAAAGTGATCCCGGTATTCCATTACAGAACCAGTTTGCCTAATACTGAGCATAGGACCAAACGGATTCTGCACTAAGGCAGGTTGAAAACGCCGGAACAAAGCATCTTTGAAGTTAACCCAAGAATGGTCATCAGTCTGTTCATCCCATCATTGGTACCAGTTCAGAGCTTTTCCGGCCATGGCTATCAAGATTATTTCTACTTTATCCTCTTCTGCCACATGGTTGAGTTTGAAATAGCGCTCAACCCTAATCAGCCATCCATAAGCATCGTCTCCACTAAAAAGTGGTAAATCGACCTTTCTTCCAGTATATACACGGTCGCTGATTCTCTTCTGATAAGGGCTGCGTGAAACTGAGTGAGTTTCATGAGATTTACCTTCAGAACTAGAGGAGCTCACGCTTGCTGAAGTATGGAGACGACGGTTTGTGGTTGATCGTCCTCTTCTCTTATGGTGGTCACCCTGTAACATGATATTCTTCAATTCGGCCACGGTCTCACACAAGCCGAGCAGTTCATTCACGGCAGTTCTCACTTCCGCTAGGGTGTTTTCCAGATTTTCCACACGTTGCCCCATTCTCGATTGGGTCAAGACCATGCGCAGGTAAGGCTTTCATCAATGGCTTTGATACCAATGATACGACACAGAAGAATTCCAGAAGACAATCTAAGTTTATTACTGAGAGTTAATAGAAGGAATACTGAAAATAACGTAAGAAAATATAGAGACTATTCGAGTGGCCTCACACTCCCAATTTCCCAGTCCCGATCCCAAGTTCTGCCCCCCCCCCCCCCCCATCTAATCCCCACTCACCCTTATTTATTCTATTTCTAATGGGCCAGCCCACTTCTAATAAGTTATAGGGCCTAAACCCTATTATTGAACAAAACTAAAATGACTTAATAAGGCTCTAATCCTTGGTAGTGTTCAGGTCCCTAACACAGTGGAATTTCACAAATTGGGCTATGTGTGATAAGGACCCGTCTATTAATAATAATAAAAGATTCGGCCAAGTTTATTCTAGAAGGAAGAAGTAGTTAGTTGTTATTAGTTGTTGATTTGTTATACTAATAACCTCCTTCGGTTAAGGGCTGGGGGATATAAATAGAATAAACTTGAGCGGGAGAGGCAGGCTGTTTAGACGTTATTGTCTGGGACTGGGAAGTTAGAGTATTATCTCCTTCTTTGGGACTCTGTACACTGTTTACCTTGTTAATGGAAGTTTACTGTTTTCTGTAGTTGTATTCAATTCTGTGTGATCGTTGTATGGTTTTGGAGTCCTTAACATTGGTATCAGAGCACGTTTGATCGCTGGATGACCTTAACACGTGCGAAGATGGAAGGAAGGATGACAGAAATGGAACGCAGTCAACTGGAGATACAATCTAATATGGAGAGAAATCAACGTGAAATGCAGGCGATGATGTCAGCGATGCAAGCTAGCATCGCCGATATGCAGAGAAGGCTCCCCGACCGATCACGAAGTCGATCGCATCAATCGACTACCTCGCATCGTCCATCTCACCAACGACGTACGCCGCAGAAGGATAGTTCGGAAGATTCAGAAGCTTATTCCGATCCTGATGCATCTCATGTGTATCGCGGTCGTCATAGAAACGGCAGACATCGGCAAACCGCAGGGAGGAAAATCGATTTACCGATCTTCAATGGAGACGACGCCTTTGGTTGGTTAATCAGGATGAACCGTTACTTCAGACTGAACAATACGGTTGAAGAAGATAAAAATGATGTGGTCGTGCTAGCTATGGAAGACCAGGCATTAAGTTGGTTCCAATGGTGGGAGGGACAGACACAACACCTGAATTGGAATTCGTTTACCAGAGATTTGACTAAACGTTTCCAACCAGAATTGGTGCAAGATCCTCTGGGACCTTTATTCAGTGTAAAGCAGAAAGGAACTATAAAGGAGTACAGAGATAAGTTTGAGACTGCCATGGCTTCTCAAGGCCATTTAACTGAAGAAGTGTTGATAGGAGTATTTCTAAAAGGCCTGAAGCGCGACATCAGGGCGGAATTAAAGTTATATCGCACGAGGACTTTAGCTGAAGTCATGGATACAGCTTTTCTTATTGAAAATAAGAACAATGAAGCTATGTTTGTAAAAAACAGACAGGAGGAGAAGAAGAAAGGATCAGGGAAATACAGCAGTCAGAACATACATACAAATTGGGGTGACGGAAGTAGATGGAAGAGTTCATCTAATATTCCTACAGTTGTTGGAAAGGTTGCATCTGACCACAAAAGTAATATTGAAGTGAAGGCACAAAATCTGAATAGAACGGGTCCCAGATTATCCAGAAATGAGTTGCAAGAAAGAAGCAGAAAAGGCATGTGTTTTAAATGTGGTGAAGACTGGAGTAAGGAACATGTTTGTAGCATGAGACACTACAAAATGATCCTAGTAGAACATTCTGATGGAGATGATGAATCTGAAGTGGATACAGTAGATTATGAAGAGGATGGAGAGATACCTAAGCAGATTAAAACCATGCAGCTATCGGTTTTAAGCAAGGAAGGTATACCTTCCATGAAAACTTTCAAAGTAAGAGGTGTTTTGAAGTGGCCTGGGGGTGAGAAACCAGTGAATATTCTAATTGACTGTGGAGCTACCCACAATTTCATGTCAAGGAGGATGGTAGACAGTTGGCAGATTCCTTTTGTTCCTGTACAAGGATTCAAAGTACAGATTGGTAATGGTGATTTAATTCCTAATGGTGGCAGATGTGATGGGATAAAATTGGAAGTGCAGGGGAATGTGATTCAACAATCTTACTACATTCTGGAGCTTGGTGGAACAGATCTTGTCTTGGGGATGGAGTGGTTGACGGCTTTGGGAAATGTGGAGGTAAACTTTCAGAAACAAGTTCTTAACTGGAAACATCATGGACAGAAGCATACCATAAAAGGAGAAGAAATTCTGAACAATTGGGAAGTACCTCTGAAGACTATGTTAAACATCCTAAAGCAGAATGGTGATGGATATTATCTTTGCTATGAAGGAAAGTTGAATAACCTGGAACAGGGTAATCTGAATGAGGAGAGCTGGGGGAACATAATTGCAGAATTTTCAGAAGTATTCACAGATCAATTCAAGTTCCCTCCTGCGAGAAACTGTGATCATACCATAAACATACAAGAGGGAGCCAGTATACCCAATTTAAGACCCTACAGGTATACTTTTGATCAAAAAAATGAGATAGAAAAGATAATTGGGGAAATGTTATCTTCTGGAATCATCAAACATAGCAACAGTCCCTATAGTAGTCCCATCTTGTTGGCTAGAAAAAAAGATGGTGGCTGGAGATTTTGTGGCGATTATAGAGCTCTTAACAAGATAACTATACCTGACAAATTCCCTATTCCGGTTATAGAAGAACTCCTGGATGAATTAGGTGGTGCAAGGGTTTTTTCTAAATTGGACCTTAAATCTGGTTATCACCAGATTAGGATGAAGGATGCTGACAGTCATAAAACTGCATTTAGAACACATGAAGGTCATTATGAGTACCTGGTGATGCCTTTCGGGTTAACTAATGCACCTTCTACATTTCAGTCTCTTATGAATGAGGTTTTAAGGCCTTTTTTAAGGAAATTTGCACTGGTGTTTTTTGATGATATTCTAGTTTACAGTAAAACTAGAGAAGAGCATACAGAACATTTGAGGTTAGTGTTGGAGGCTTTGAAGAAGAATGATCTGGTTGCAAATAAAAAGAAATGCTCTTTTGGTCAAGAACAATTGAATTATCTTGGTCATATAATCTCGGCAGAAGGGGTATCAGCTGACCCCAGTAAAACTGATGCCATGAAAGATTGGGTAATACCAAAAAACTTGAAGGAGTTGAGAGGATTTTTGGGTCTTACAGGGTATTACAGGAGATTTGTTAAAGGGTACAGCCACATTGCAGCACCCTTAACACAACTTTTGAAGAAAGATGGGTTCAAATGGAGTGAGGAGGCTCACAGAGCTTTTGAAAAATTAAAGACAACGATGTCTACCTTACCAGTCCTAAGAGTTCCAGATTTCAGTAAGGTTTTTATTGTGGAAACTGATGCTTCGGGAGGGGATTAGGAGCTGTTCTAATGCAAGATGGAGGCCCCATTGCTTTTATGAGCAAGGAATTGTCTCCTAAACATTTAAGCAAGTCTGCCTATGAAAAGGAGTTGATGGCCATTGTGTTTGCAATTCAGAAATGGAGACCTTATCTGCTAGGGAGAAAATTTGAGGTTCACACTGATCAGAGGAGCCTTAAATATTTGACTGAGCAGGCCATAATGGGGGAGGACCAGCAAAAATGGATATCCAAACTCATGGGATACAATTTCACTATTAAATATAAGCCTGGGTGTGAGAATAAAGCTGCAGATGCTTTGTCAAGAAAGATCAGTCTTTCAGCCTTATCTATAGTGAATTGTCAGGAGTGGGATGGACTGGAAGAAGAGATGTTGACAGATCCTAAGTGTTTTGACACTATTCAGAGAATTATCAGTCACCTTGATCTAATGACTGATTTTAAACTGAGGAATGGATTGTTGTATTACAAAGGGAGGTTGATGATACCTCAAAATTCTCCAAGGATAGGCAGAATCCTTAAAGAATATCATGATTCTGCTACTGGTGGACATTCAGGAAATTTCAGAACCATGAAAAGGATAGCTACACTATTTTATTGGGTGGGGATGAGGAAAGATATCCAACAGTATGTACAGAACTGTGAAGTGTGTCAGAGAAACAAATACCAGGCTTTGAAACCTGCCGGTTTACTGCAGCCGTTACCCATTCCAGAGCAGATTTGGACTGATATTAGCATGGATTTCATCGGGGGATTACCTAAAGCACAAGGGAAGGATACTGTGTTGGTGGTGGTGGATAGGTTGACTAAATTTGCTCATTTCATACCACTATCCCACCCCTACAATGCAAAAGGAGTGGCTGAAATGTTTATCAAGGAGGTGGTAAGGCTTCATGGGTTTCCAAAGTCAATAGTGAGTGACAGAGACAGCATTTTCCTGAGCTCTTTCTGGTCAGAATTATTCAGATTGGCTGGGACAAAACTGAAATATAGCACAGCTTATCATCCTCAGTCTGATGGACAAACTGAAGTTGTCAACAGATGTTTAGAGACCTATTTGAGGTGTCTTACTGGGAAGAAACTGAAGGAATGGACTAAATGGTTACCTTGGGCAGAGTATTGGTATAATACCAATTACCATATATCATTAAAACAAACACCCTTTCATGCATAATATGGACAAGATCCACCTGCAGTGGTAAAAGGGGATGTCACAAGGACTGCGGTTGATGAAGTGGCAAGACTAACTGCTGAGAGGAATGGAATGTTAGCTGAAATGAAGGAGAATTTGGCCATGGCTCAAAACAGGATGAAACAACAAGCTGATAAACATCGGAGGGAAGTAAAATTGGAAGTAGGTGAGAAGGTATTTTTGAAGATTCAGCCCTATAAACTGCAAAGTTTGGCAAAGAGGATCAATCAAAAACTGAGTCCTAGATTTTATGGGCCGTTTGAAGTTGTTGAAAAGATAAATGATGTAGCTTTCAAGCTGAAATTACCAGATCACTGTCGGGTACATCCGGTGTTTCATGTTTCTTTACTTAAGAAAGCTCTAGCCTCCAATATTTCTAGTCAGCCTCTACCTCAGTGTTTGAATGAGAATTGGGAGCTACAAGTGTTTCCAGAGAAGGTGGTGGATATGAGAGAAGCTCAGAATGGTGTTACAGAAGTTCTGATTCAATGGAAGGACCTCCCTGAATTTGAGAACTCTTGGGAAAATGTACAGTTGATGAAAGCACAGTTTCCAGACTTTAAGCTTGAGGACAAGCTTGATCTTCAGCAGGGGAGTATTGATAAGGACCCGTCTATTAATAATAATAAAAGATTCGGCCAAGTTTATTCTAGAAGGAAGAAGTAGTTAGTTGTTATTAGTTGTTGATCTGTTATACTAATAACCTCCTTCGGTTAAGGGCTGGGGGGATATAAATAGAATAAACTTGAGCGGGAGAGGCAGGCTGTTTAGACGTTATTGTCTGGGACTGGGAAATTGGAGTATTATCTCCTTCTTTGGGACTCTGTACACTGTTTACCTTGTTAATGGAAGTTTACTGTTTTCTGTAGTTGTATTCAATTCTGTGTGATCGTTGTATGGTTGTGGAGTCCTTAACAATGTGATGCTAGTCAAATCCAGATTCACCACATGGAGACATTTTGGGGGGTGGGGTTACTATTTTACCCTTAGATTAAAGTTACATATCCCATGCAGTGAGGCCGAGTAAAATAAATTAATAATCATTTAAATCCTAAAATGTCGTCCTGGTGGTCAATCTCGATGGAAAAATCAAGTTGAGGATTCAGATGCATGCCCTTCAGATATTAAATCTACCATGTTGCAAATAGGGATTCAATACCCAAGTCATCAAAGGCTTAATAATTGCTTCCCTTGAAACAAGGAATGAAGTGCATTCATTACATACAGTTTGCACAAATAGTTATTATTTATTTATATTAGGGGTCGGCTAATATGAATCGACATATGAAATCGGAGTTAAAAAACATAAAAAGAGATTAATCCTTCACACAAATACTCTCCCTCCACTTCGCTCTAAAGTCACACTCTCATCCATTCCAAGAAGAGTGTGACTTTGGAGAGAGTGAAGTGGATGAAGAGTATCCCTGTGGAGGATTGATCTCTTTATTTTTTAACTCCGATTTCATATGTCGATTCAAGTTAGCCGACCCCAAACTCTTTTGGGACTAAGGCTTGGACGTTGTTGTTATTTAATTTGGCAAATGAAATATAATGACCAAGTACCTTGCTACATTTTCCTTTATTTCACTATCGCCCATCATCATGACCACGGGTATACCTTCTTCAAGTGCATCATCTATAAAGCTGCATCAAGAGACAAAAAGTATTGTGTCGCACAAGTCTTCCGTTTTAGAGAGAAAATATAGGCAAGGGAGTAAGGATAATCAGTACTTAATATGATAATTGATGCATAATGACATGAAGCAGTAAGGCACCACTTACGCTTCAACCCCTGGTCTTAATGGTAATGTTTTTGATATGATGAGATCATCCAGTGCATTTTTCTACAAACAAAAAGTAAAAATAAAAAAGTTTGAGTACATGGTTTGGAAGGCATAAAGCTATATGGGTGATATTGTGTCTTTAGTCTTTACTAAGGTAACTCAATAAAGATGAGCTCGGGGACAATACTTTCATTGAAGCCACATAACCTAGAATAGGTCGTGCATGAACTGATGAATTAAAAGGAATATATTGCACTAACGCAAATAACTAACTACTTAAAATATAGGCATATAAGTAATATAACTAATTACCTTTTCTAGCAGAGCTCTTTTTATAAAAGATTGCTTCTCGTTTGTAGGTAGTGATGTTGGCCAGCCAATCTGCACAGAGTAAAATTTCTCTTCAAAGTTTACGCATTGCCTGAAACTTCAAGCAGTGTCTTGATTCTTGAACTAGTTAGATTTGAACAACATAGGCTACATAGCTTACCCTGTCAAAGTACAAGATCAACATCCTCTCCTCATCACCAGAGCTCTTCCTGAAAAGATACTATTATCTATTGATGACACCATACCCGATTTATGATGATAATACAAGAAAAACAAGCAGCTAATTCTCATTAAATGATTATAGAGCGTGCTCAAGCATCATACTTTACAAGATCCAGATAAACTGGTTGAGTCCAACTTGCACAGTCCAATCCAAGCTTTTGAAATGCTGAAATTAGAAAGAAACAACGCCACACACCCAATACTCATGTAGTGTTATCTATAATTCTATATAGGAAGTCATATTACATAAGAATATTATATTCTATTTGAAGAAATATGTTACGTTTGAAGGTATGCAGAGAGCTAAAAACAGTAATATGCCAAACACGCAATATTATATTGAAGAAACTAACGCAAAACTTCAATTACATCTTCCGCATACGGTGCTCATATACTACATCGTATTTATAGACTAAACTAGTCATATTGGAATACAACTAGGACTGTCTAAACAAATAATCAAATAACTTGGACTCCACTCCAAGATAGAATTCTGATTTAGAACCGTGACTAGAGTCCATGTCCTATTCAGATAATTCACAACAATTACCCCCTGAATTTCTGAGAAGGTAATTCTTGCACACCAAGTAGTTTTCTCATTTCCACAAACCGTACTCGTGCTAAAGCCTTTGTTAAAGGATCTGCAACTTGTTCTTCTCCAGCCACATGTTTAACTTCAACTTGCTCGTTTTCAACACGCTCTCGAATGAAGTGAAATTGAGTGTGAATGTGCTTGCTCCTTCCGTGAAAGACTGGATTTTTTTGACAATGCAATTGCTGATTTATTGTCAATAAAAATTAGCACCTTCTGTTTCTCCAGCCCTGTCACTTCTGCCAGCAATTCCCTTAGCCAAACTGCTTGACAAGCTGCAGCCTAGCTGCCATGAACTCGGCTTCGCATGAAGATAAAGCCACTGTATCTTGTTTTTGTGAACACCACGTGATAGGTGACATACCAAGGAAGAAAATGTGACCAGTAGTGCTTCGACCATCATCAATGTCAACATTATGACTACTATCACTATATCCCAGTAGTTTGAGTTCATTGTTGCGCTCATATTTTATCCCAACGGAAACTGTTCCACGGAGATATCGTAGGATTTGCTTGATAGCTCTTGCATGGGACTCTCTGGGACTTTGCATGTAGCGACTAACTACTCCAACGGAGTATGCCAAATCTGGTCGAGTATGCAAGAGACAACGTAGGCAACCAACTACCCTTCGGTAATGCTTAGCTTCCACTTCTGGTTCTGTTTCGGCCTTTGAAAGCTTTAGTCCCAGATCCATTGGACACAAGGTTGTATTACACTCCTCCATACCAGCTTCTTTTAAGATCTTCAAGGCATAATTTTGTTGCTGAATCTTCACACATGTCTCTTCTTGCGAAACTTCTATGCCCAAATAGTAAGTTAGTTCACCCAGATCTGACATTTCGAACTGAGATGCCATCATTCTTTTGAACTGTTCCATGAACGCTAAGCTAGTTCCTGTTACGAATAAGTCATCCACATATACTGCCACGACAATAAATTCCCCTTTGGATGCTTTTCTGTTAACAGCCGATTCTTGCAAACATCTACGAAAGCCTAATCTCTTTAAGATGTTGTTGAGCTTTAAATTCCAAGCCCTCGGAGCTTGTCTAAGGCCATATAAAGCTTTCAACAATCTATAAACCTTTGTTCCCTCTCCCGGTTTCTCAAAGCCCTCAGGTTGACTGACGTATACTTCTTCCTGCAGTTCACCATGCAAAAAAAGCTGTTTTAACGTCTAAGTGGTATATCTTCCATCCTCTCCCGGCTGCGAGAGCAATCAAGAGTCGTATTGTCTCGAGTCGAGCTACTGGTGCGAACACTTCATCAAAATCAATACCAGGTTCTTGTACATAGCCTTTTGCAACTAGCCGCGCTTTGTACCTTGATATTGATCCGTCAGCATTTCTTTTAATTTTAAATATCCACTTCAACCCTATAGGTTTAACATCTTTCGGTGGGGGAACAAGTTTCCATGTTTTATTCTTCTCTATTGCATCAATCTCGGTTTTCATTGCACTGAGCCATTCTGGTTTCACTCTTGCTTCATTGAAGTTTCTCGGTTCCTCATCAAATGCTAACAGCAGCTCATTAAAATTCAGCTCATAGTCATTAAATCTTGCTGGTAACACCGAAGTACGAGATGATCGTCGCATAGGTGCAATATTGCTGATTGGTTCAGATTCAACTCGAGGTGGACTTGTTTCAAGATTTGAGTTGTTGTCTGACCGTGGTGAGCTGCTTCCAGGATTGCTGATAGGTGTTCCATTTGAGCCATTGATGTGGGCTTGTATTGCAGGCTGCTCAAGAAGACTCGCATCTGTTTGACTCGGTTGAGTTTCACCCCATAGGACTGTGAAAGTACCTGATTCTTTTCTTATTTGGTTTTCGTTATCAGTCAGGTTACTCCACTCCCATGCTCTGTTCTCATCACATATTGCATAGGAGCTGACAATGATCTTATTTTCGTGAGGATTATAGAGACGAAACCCTCCTGAACCGGGTTCCTTGCCAAAGTATACCAGTGGTTTTGACGTGTCATCTAGTTTCTTCAAGTGCTTTGAAACTATTTTATCATAGGCAATACAACCAAATACTTTTAAATCTTCAAGGTTCGGCTTTTCACAGTATAGTTTTTCGTATGGAGTGGTTCCTACCGATGCTCGTGTAGGGGTCCGATTTATGATAAAGGTTGCATGTCTAACTGCCTCGCCCCAAAAATGGTTTGGTACCCCTTTTGCTTTCATGAGACACCTTGTCATCTCAATTAAGGTGCGGTTTCTTCGTTCTACGATGCCGTTCTGTTGAGGGGCATAGGGAGCTGTTAACATTCTTAAGATCCCTTCTTCTTCCCAAAAACGGTTAAAGTCTTTTGAAGTAAACTCGCCGCCTCTATCAGTGTGAAAAGATTTGATCTCTTTGCCGGTTCGTTTTTCAATTGACCTTTTGAAGCTTTTAATAACATCTGATGCATCACTTTTATGTTTTAAAAGAAACGACCACATGTACCTGGAGAAGTCATCAATCAGCACCAATATATAAACATTGCCTGCTTGTGTCGGGGGGGTCTATCGGGCCACATATGTCCCCGTGTATCATCTCAAGAGCATCTTTTGACTTGTATGATGTCTTTTTCGGGAAGCTTTGTCTTGTTTGCTTACCAATCATGCATACCTCGCACACTTGATCTTGATGTGAAAGAGTAGGGACTCCTTTTGCTAGCTTGTGCATCAAATTTATTGCACTAAAGTTTATATGGCCTAGACGAGCGTGCCATAACCAGGATTCTTCAGTTATGCTAGCCTGCAAGCAGTAGGGTTTTCCTACTTTCAGTTGGGTCTTGTACAGTCTATTTGCACTTCTCCGAACCTTCATAAGTAACCTTCCACTTCTGTCTCGCATGGTCAAGTAATCTCCTCGCATATGGATGTCGCATCCAGATATTGTGGCTTGTCCGAGACTGATCACGTTACTTTTAAGGGACGGAATATAGTAAATATTTTTCAATAACTTTTGTTCTCCACTTTTTCCTTGGAATAAGATTGATCCCTTTCCTTCTATGCTAACACAAGATCCATCCCCAAATCTGACCCTCCCAGTTATTCGTTTGTTTAGCTCAGAGAAGTATGAGTAATTCCCAGTCATGTGATTACTCGCGCCATTGTCCAGGTACCACACACCATCTTCATCAGGTTTCGAGTCATGTTTGGGTGGGATGTATTTTTCTTCATTAAGAAATACAGTTTCGATGCTCATCATAAAGAAAGTCCCCTCCTCATGATTCATACCTGCTTCTTGTGTTTCATTCAAATTTGACTCCTGATTTCTGGGTCGTTCTGGACATTTTGACACAAAGTATCCGTACTTATCACAACGATAGCACTGGATGTTTGACAGGTCACGCTGTTCATGTTGCTTCCCTTTTTGTCGCTGGTCTTCTCGGTTTTTCGATGAATCCTTTTGATCGTGGTTTTGGGTATTACCTCGACCCCGACCTCAACCACGACCACGACCACCTCGGCTAGAGCCACGACCTCTCCCCCTGTTTGAGTCTTGATTTATGTTGGAAGACTCTGCCTTTGCATAGAGCAGTTTATCTTGTGATTCATTCACATTGTCTTCTTCTTTTATGCGTTCTTCATATGCTTTTAGTCTTCCTACCACATCTTCAAACCCAATTGTTTTGAGATCTAGAACTTGCTCAAGGGCTGCTACTATATGAACAAATCTCCTAGGAAGGCTTGTGAGAAATTTCTTAACTAGCTTCTGTTCTGAGATTTCTCCTCCAAGTGTGGCTGAAGTAGAAGCAATACCAGATAGCTTTGCAGCAAATTCATCTATCGTAACTGTATCCTTCATCTTCAAATTTTCGAATTCCGTAGTTAGGGTTTGAAGTCGTGCTTCCCAATTTTGAGATTGCCGATTTGAAGAATCAACTCTTCCGGTATCGGCTGATAGAGCAGACCCTTGACAATGTTGTTTTTCCTGGAATCGTCTGAACCTGGATCTATCACTTCCCAGACTCCATGAATTCCAAGTAGAACTTCCATCCGCATTCTCCAGATGGTGTAGTTTGTTGTTGTCAACAGGGGAAATTGAAACGACAAGGTGTGTGGTTCCTTCGCCGGTGACTGTGGTGATTCTCCCGTCGTCGCTGCTCAAGTTGACACACAGCAGGTGCTTGACTCTATCGTAGGCGCTGGTCAACACCGAAAGTAAGTTTGCCGGCTTCTGGAATACACAAGCTCTGATACCAATTGAAGGTATGCAGAGAGCTAAAAACAGTAATATGCCAAACACGCAATATTATATTGAAGAAACTAACGCAATACTTCAATTACATCTTCCGCATACGGTGCTCATATACTACACCGTATTTATAGACTTAACTAGTCATATTGGAATACAACTAGGACTGTCTAAACAAATAATCAAATAACTTGGACTCCACTCCAAGATAGAATTCTGATTTAGAACCGTGACTAGAGTCCATGTCCTAATCAGATAATTCACAACAACGTTTTAGTCCTACTTAGGAAATCTCCCTATTATATATGGCACTAAGACCCTTTCATTAGGTTTTGGAATAAAAAACCATACCAGCATTGAATGCTTGCCTATTGCCAAAACGATAGATATCCATGAGCACCCTGAATCATGAGAAATGCCAAAGAAATAGAAAGATTAACACATTGGCCATTTGATGTGGTCCAGGTGGAGTAGGCTGGTCAGGTGTTGCATTATGATAAATATCGAGCAAAAAAATTGATAAAGAAGTAAAACAGAACACTCTATTATTGATAGCCTTAAGGATCTAACAACACATAAATCTGTAAATATGATCATTTAGGCACTTCAGACCAGCCAAATGTAAATACACAAATTAAAACATAAGGTCTTAATATAATCCTCTTATCAATTTGACATTTTTAGCATGGAAGATGGAACCCTAAAAGGCTAAAACTTAATATGATATCAAAGTCAAGTATGAATGTAAGATCTAATGGGTCGTTTATTCTACTTGAATAAACTCTAACATTCTCTGAAAGACTGAAACCGTTCTGACCTATGACCCTTTGGAAACACATAAAATGGTAGAATTAAAGTGACAACACAAGATTTAATGAAATTCATGAAAAGGTGCCCAATGTCTTCAGTCTTCACTGCTTAGATTAATCCAAATCATGAATTAGTTTACCTTCCTATACTTTGTACACTAACCCATTTCGGAATGCAATTCGTATTTTCTATGAAATCTTTCAAAAATAAAGATAAAATCAAAAAGAAATACCATAACCACTCAACCACTCGAAATAACTTCAAAGTACTTTCTGATTGTGATCCAAGCTACAATAAAATGAAACTAGAAGCACTAATAAGAAAGGCCAAATTAGAACTATATTTGACATTATTATCATTTAATAACTTAAACCATGAAACTAAAAGCAACAGAAATGGATATAATTATCTATAGTTATAAACTTATCATGTACTAAAACCAGGAAACTAAAGCAACAAAAATCTCTATCTGTTGAGCAGTAGATGGATTGCAATTACTCTTCCAAAGATGGGAAATCAATAACTTGAAAAAACACCCAGAAAAAAAGATAAACAAATTATTACCCTTCAGTTTCAAAGAGAAGAGCAAGCTGCCGAGAAGGGATTTTTGGAGTCTTGCTGGATAAGGAACTGGAGCAACTGATGGAGCCATTGAATCGCACCCCGCGAGACCGAAGGCCCGAAGCTCGTGGCGTTGTGAGAGGGGGGTAAGAGAGAGAGGAGATTTTTTTTCTTTGAATGCTGTATAGCTTAGCGGTAATAGTAGCCGTATGGGGAGTGTTGAGAATTGCAGAGGAAGCCGTTTCCATTGATTCCTGAGAATCAAAATACTTTCTATGAATGGAAGTCGAGTGGAACGCGTGGGCTCTATCTTGAGCAGATCGAATTGTACGGAGTAGCACCGTATACCGGTCGTACAAGTAGCACCGTATACCGGTCGTATACGGAGCAGACTCTAGAAAAATTATTACCAAATAGTAGTATTATTTGTTATAATTATAATAAAATTGAACTTTGATATTTTAATTGTCTTCATATTCCAGATGAAGGTGTTCTCTAATGCCCCCGACTTCGACAAGCTCAAGTTCAAGCAACACTGGTTCAAATCTTCCGAATATCAACACGAACGATCACCCATTTGAGTATGCTACATTTTAAATAATTCATTTAAATTGTAATGTGCTATATATCCAGCTGACTAAGCCCAGGTAGGTTGTCTGAATTGCTTGTGAAGATTAAGTGGGACTTAAGGAACGATTGAGTTGGAGTAAATATATGGTTTTAAATTTTAATGCATTAGGAAGTTAACTATTACAATCAAGATGGCAGAATTAGGAACCCTTTCCAGTAACCATTAAGTTCAACAAATATTCCTTTCTTCTGGTATTGTAAAAACGCAACCTGAGTTAGGTGAGTAGACTGTAGAGTGCTTTATTTTTAAGTTGTAAAAAAGCAGCAAACAAAAATCAAAATAGTAGGATGCAAACTGTGCTTTATTTTGAGTTTTATGCTATATTTTAATATTGTGTTGCTTCAATTATATATAGGGTGGATGCAGATTGTGCAGCAAATGACAATATGGATGTGGAAGCTGGAGGGTTGAATGATGGAGCATAGATTTATGTTTTTTCAGTGTTGGTTAAACTATTATTTAATCATTGAAGACTTGTTCTATTTTCCTACTTTTTTTTCTTGTTTGATTGCTTGTCACTTTATTCAAACTTCCTGATTTGGTAACAAGAATTAGAACTTTTCGAATCTTGTCAAGTGTTTACTGTTTAAGTATATTTATTTTGATTTTGATAGACTGGTAGTAATTTAGTATATTGTGTAATGTTATTTGTTAGCATGCAAACAGGTTGAAACATGTTGCCTTGACAGAAAAAAACTCACAAAAACATGGTAAGCTTGTCAAATTTGTTTTTAAATTAGTTTAAAAAATTAGTGCAGAACAAACTCACCAAACCGACCGACCGAACCGAGTTCTTCGGTTCTACGAACCGACCGACCGAATCCCATTTGGTTTGGTTATCGGTTTGCCATTTGTGAAAACCGACAAATTTTCAAACCGACCGACACCAACCGAAACCGACCAAACCAACCCGACGAACACCCCTAGGTAAATTATACTACGTGCAATGACCATCATATGACTGACTTAAATGGCTAGAGAATAAGATCAAAATGAATGATGTAGTATCAAAGTGAATAAGTTATACTCCCTCCATCTCAAAAAAGTTCGCCAAATTGAATTTTCTTGATCAATGACAATCAACTTTGACTAATGATATTTTTTAATACGAAATTATTTTGAATATGAAAATTATATCAAAATGTTCCTTATTCAATATATTTTCATAAAAGTATAAAATTTATAAATTATATAAAAATATAATAATTAAAATCATTGTTCAAAGTCTGCCTAATTGACCAATAAAAGTCGATGTGGCGAACCTTTTCGGGACGGAGGTAGTAATATTTTGAAGTGGTTTTCGATATATTAATCTCTTGGTCAAAGTGTCACGTCCCGTTCCTTCAAAGATTAACAAATTCAAATTCAACGAAATCTTGAGTTTTGGTTAAAGAAATAAGCACAAACATATAATTGCAATTGCAATAGTGGAAAGTATGATCTCGATAGAGTAGTTGTAACGACCGTCTCCAATGCGGTCATTACCATACTCAAACATAAAAGAGACTCGATAAATCAAGCGGAAATAAAGATACAAAGTCTCTTCATGAAACTTTATAACTTATGTTCATATCCAAATCTCATAATGAAAACATTAAATAACCAAAGGAATATGTCTTTAAACAAAACATTTACACCTGATCAGGATTTCAAAATCATTTAACAATACGTAGGAGTACCAAAGTACTAAAAGCAAAACATAACAAATAGCCAAATCTTCTCTGTTAACCCATCCAAGACCTCGTCATCGGCTCCATACATTATATCAGGCTTCCATACTTCGTTTATTACCTAACATGAGAACATAAGAGAATGAAATTCTCGTAAGCAATAATGCTCACTAAGTCACCATTTCATCCACACAAACATTTAAGGAATCTCAGCTAATCATAAATCGATACACATGCTGAATACACCACACATATAGTATAATCACACATGATAACAACACATAAGCATTGATGTATCAAACACTAAGTGATTTCCTTATTTATCATTCTTTCTTCTTATCTTATTCCTTGACTTTATGGACCCGTAGCTCGTGTCCTAGCCCCTCGCCGATGACTTCGGGTAGCTAGCCCGCAGCCCATCAGAAGCAACCCCGGGACTCCCCGCGGAAGAACATCCCGCTACGCTCAGCTCAGGTAGTTACTTGGGGGCACGACTACCTTAGAACATCACTTATCATTCATTAGTCATCACCATCATCATAACTTCCTTTTCATTGTTGGTTCCATGTGAACACAACCTAACATCATAACATAGCACTTGAATTCCTTGTCTTTAACCATTTCATAATTCTATATTACACCACCTGTCAACACATACATGTCACTTGAACTTCACACCACATCATGTCATATAAATTTCAAGTATTCAAGCAAACATATCAAATTCATAATTAGCTTGACTTCCATACAATGTTCAGAACTATCATGTATAGGTGGTGATGACTTACCTGGTTCCTGCGGAGTATTTACTCTTGTGTGTGCGTGTCCAACATCCATGAGCAATGATTATTCGATGAGCAACTATATATATATGATTTACACTTGATCAATATAATTTCACATTTAGTCAAACTTAAATTCTTGTCTTTTAGAAAATCCCTAGACTTAAAGATGAGGGAAAGTTCATAAATCAACCCCTACAAGTAAGAAAACTCCCCAATTCCTACAACAACTCAGGCATGGCTTTGGGGTAGCTAGATTAGGGGTGGGCATAAAAAACCGTAACCGTATAACAGCGCCTAAAAACCGGAAAACCGCCGTTTTTCCCGGTTAACCGAACCGCAATTTTTTAAATCCACGGTACGGTTAACCAACCGTGAGAATAAACGGTTCGCGGTACGGTTACGGTTTTAGAAATATGTTATTATCGGTTAACCAATAACCGGTATGTTCATGTCTGGTCATGAACTTCACGTTCTCAGAGAACTTGGAAAGATAAATATGTATCCAACACATCTAGATACATCAATTATAATAAACATGTGAAGAAACCAAATTATGTTTGTCACTATAGAATTTCATATTATTAATAATTAGTCAAAGCTTTTGTGAGTTATAATTAATTAGCCCATTCTGTAATCGTGAGACTTGAACATGTGTATTCTTTTTTTGAAGCAATTGAACACGTTTATTCTTATTAAGTGTATTTTATCTTTTCCTGTATTCCACTCTCAAAATTTATTTTTCTCTTGTTTGGACTTAATTAATATAGAAAGAACATGGTGTGTGTGTATATTTAATCAATGGTTTGATGGTTTTTGGTTAACCGGTTTGTGGTTAACCGAAGTTTTGGTTAACCGATACTCGGTTAACCGAAGCTTTGGTTAACCGATGCTCGGTTAACCGAAGTAATAGGTTTCTCGGTTAACCGGAAAATTGGTTAACCAAAACACGGTTAACCAACCACGCCCACCCCTAAGCTAGATAACCTAGCACCGATTGGAACTCACAAACCAAGAGATTATAGCAACTAACTAATTAGTATAATATCAAGAAATCTAGATACTTACTTAAAATCAACCTCAAAGAGTAAGCAAAACTCACAAATTCTTATCTCCAATCGGTATAATTTCGGTGTAATTGGATACTCAAATTTCACAAGGTTTTTTAATCAAAGATGAACAACAACTCCATAACAACCTTATTATTAAGAAAATCCATTAGATTTCCTATAATCAACCTAAAATCAATCAACCCTAGCAAATTCCACAATCAAGAACTATAGATACAAATATAGTAAAAGGTACTTCATGTTATGTGTAAAACCTTACCAAGTGATGATCCTTGATGAAGAATAGATTTAATTTGGGTTTGAATTAGTCTAGGAAGGGTTTGGAATCACTTCAAAGATATGGAGTCGAGCAGGGTTTCGTTTTGGGGAAAAGGGGGATTTTTCCCGTTTAAATACGATGCTGATCGACTTGGGCAAAAATCGGCCGAACCAGCGCCGGTCATGGCCCAAACGGCGCCGGTTGCCCTGCCTTTCCACCGCCTTAAGTTTCTGTTTTGGACCGGCGCCGGTCCGGGTCCAACCGGCGCCGGTTCGAGGTTCCCCCGGTGCTGAAATTGCCCTTTTTCGCCCTAAACTGACCCCGATTGTTGGCCGGTCACACCCTTGACCCCCGATAACATTTAAACTACATTTTAAACACCCGAATACTATCTAACATGACAACTAACTTGATATACCATTACATTCGAAATACAAATGATTATTACGGTGTAATTTCGTTGCTCATCAGATACTGTCGTCTGTCACGTTCAAACATAATACAAGCATATAAGTTCAAATACAATGATCACAAGGTTCATAATCACGTGCTATCTCTACACTTCACAATAAGTTCACATATATAGCACTCAACCACAACTCAAACATGATCATATATAATTAATTAACACATAAGAAGTCGATAAAAAGTAGGGGCGTTACAGTAGTTATCATGACATTATATCTTTATATTTATTTATCACTTTAGTGAATAAAAGTAATGTTCACTTTTAAAAGAAGATATTTTTCATTTTTTTTGAAAGAATGTTTTGTCATTGATTATTGAAAATAAATGTTAACCAATAGTTTGTAAGTATTTTATCTAGTTTTCTCACGAGGTTCAAAATTTTGGACT